GGTTACAATCAAGATCATTCACCCCCCCTATATGCAGTTCTTGTATCAAATGATGAGATGGGTTTAAGTGATCGGAATATTTAAGTGATGGGAATTTACAATTTAGGGTAATCTCCAAATACACTGGATCCAAGTTTTAGTCTGTACCAGAAACACCCCCATTAAGACTATGGACAACCGACTGGTGACCTGAGCACAATTATTGAAAAGTTATTACAGTAGAAACAGGGTACTAACCCACGAGGACAACTGTATGTACAAACTCTATGAACAAAATTCCCCAACAGATTGTGGCGACTGTGCACAGATGTATCCAGTCACAAAAGTTACTATTGTTCTAAGTAATAGTGAGATTTAAAATATTGGAGAATATATGGAGACGTCCTTTTATAGTGTGTGAAACATGTGGTGCTTGAAACATGTAAGTATTTCAATTTATAGAAGAAAATGGTTTCCTGAAAGAGTTATTTGGAGTAGATGTGTTACAGTGGGAGAAAAAACAATGTTTAGAGATATAGTACATTTATTAGTAGACATTAATTGTGTTTAGATGGCATTTAACAATTAAAACAGATAGTATGATTAGAAGATAGAGTGGAGAAGGTTAGATTTACTTTACCTCAGTGTGTTAGAATTTCTATAGGTAATGCGTCCCGAGACCTGGACTCTCTCTCTCTCTGCCTGTCAGACTGCTACGACCCCTATCAGACAAAAGACCTCACTACAGGAGACTCCTCCTCCTCCTCCTCCATCGAACAGACAGAGAACCAGAGCTGAACCAACAACGACAAGACTGCATCCAGAACCTTCTCCACCTGCGGCATCCAGAACCAGAACAGCATGCTGACATAAAGAGGCATACTCTCATCAGTCCCTAACCCAGGACATGAAGTTCCAAGCTGAGCCACGAGATTTGGCACAAGAGCAGAGTGTGGGACATGAAAGCAGAATACGCCCTCCATACAACAGCGAAGAGACTGTAAAGAAGGAGATGAAATGCAAAGCAGTTGGGCCACTGAAAAGAGTACCAGCGAAAGGATTTAAGAGCTGATGGACTGAGGAGAAGACGGAACCAGAGGAGTTGGCATGGTCTAACAGAATGTGAGGGGGTCGTGGCTTGAGACAACAAGAGGAGGAGAAAAGGAAAACGGGAGTGAGTGAGTTTATACATAAACACACTTATTCACAAACAAACTTGAATTGACTTGATAAATACGTAAAGACAAAAAGATTTATTAGCCATGAATTAATAAATTGGTAAATTAAAATAGTAATAAAGAGGAAACTGTTAAAGTAAAATGAGGAAATAATCCTAAAACACACTGAGGGTACTGTGAGATAAAGGGGTAGACATGATGGAAATATTCACCACACTTTACACTTTAAGCAGTGAGTGTTGTGGGACTTAGGAGTACAGAGTAGAACATATTTTTCAATCTTTCCATCATGGAAACGAATTATTCCCTAAGAGATTTTATTCATGGGTGAATTTGGTAGAGATCTAAGGTGTTACAATATTGATCTACAGCTAAAGGGATAGTTTTAGTGACCACTCTATAAGAGCAGACAAATCTGTGTTAGTTGGACAATGTTAAAGGGAGAGCTAATACCAAGCCAAATATAGTATCCCAATCTAAAGTATTGTTTTCGCCATTGTAGCATAGTTATTACCATAGGAGAACTGTTAAGGTGGAAATAACATTTGTTTGTCCAAGATGTAGAGTTTTAAAGGACACTGGGCAAAGAGCGATTGCAAATTTAATTTTGGAAAAAGCAATATAATTGGGAGTAATACATGCGGGGCCTTGGATCACTCATTGCAATGATGCATATTTTTGACAACCCATATTGTTTAGGGAGAAGGGGTCACTCAACCCACCCAGCAGTTGTTTTAAATCTTACTTGTAGCTTCACAGGGAGCGCACGGCACCAAATTATGAGTTTAAAAGACAAGCGCCACCACCTCCTGATGGTCATCCATTTAATCAGGGATGACCTGAAATTTAGAGATGTTATTTAAAGTAGAAACATATACATAAGTGAAAATTCCTAAATTGAACTACAAACCATGGATGAAATAACTACTGTTTTTAAAATCCTTGCTAGAGGAGGGAGTAACTGTTACATGCTCGGACACCCAAGGTTCCACACACTGTTAAAGGGGTTAGCATAGTTCTTTAAGTAGACTAGAATTGAAGAGAAATTGGTATAATGAGTTATTGATATTCCACCAGTTTTCACACCATTTAAGGAACTTTATCACTGCATTAGAACGGACCACCCAAAGGTACTGAAGTAGGAACCATAAGTGATGAAATTCTCCAATTGTTGTAACTGACCAAAATCTTCTCCCAGAAATGACTGTCTGAAATGCCGTATCCCAGAGTAGATGTTTGATGGTATCATGGAACTAAAACCTTGTACGCAGTCTTGCCACAGGATTAGACTGGGACCTGTGCACTTGTACAGCCAGTGATGTTTTATATGCAGTACCAATGACAGTGGGGCAGTTAATCACCATGGCGAAACACCCCAAAACCAGTAGGGCTAAGAGACCAGTCAAAGGAGGGAGTTTAGGCTCCACAGTGTACAAGGATAGCATAGGGGGGCCCAGGGGAGTGCTAGATGTTGGAGTTGCATTCCATGTACCCGCACCCTAACGTACCGATTGATCACCACGGCCTTTTCTAGAGAACATATTACTTTCATACTTTAAAAAGTATGAAAGGGGGGAGGGTACATTTCTCATAAGGGAACAGTTTCAATTGCTAGCAGAACAAGACGACTCAACCCATATACAGATATTGATGAAAATGATGACAGTTTGTTTGAATGATGTTAAATGATAGGGATGTTCAGAGATGAGATTGTTCAATGAATGTCCAGCGAATGTCCAGCTAAGCTGATCCTTTAAATGATGAAATCATGTAAAAAAGTGAACCAGTTGCAATACTAAAATGGAGTGAATCCATTTCAATTTACTGTACACTATTCCAAGAATAGTTTATTTTTTATTTACTTTATACCATTCCTACACCAAGTTTTGTGTTTTTTCTTTTTCTTACCACACTATTCTAAAATAGTTTCTCTTTTTATGTTTTATACTGTTATTAGTGATGCGATTTTTAAATTGTATGTTTTTTATGCTTTGTATAACAAGTGCCTTAACAACTGAATGTGGTATGGGAACGGTTTCTGTGAGAGGAGGGAGTAAGAAATGTTCCAATACCACAAGTTGCTGCTATATTGAATGATTAAAACTAGAAGTTATGCACAAGGGAAAACTTTTATGTTTGAAGACCAGCCAAAGTATTTTTTGTATTTGTTGTATTTTTGATGATGGTTATTTAAACCATTACATTTATGATTGTATGTTTTTTGATATGAGATATGTACTATGCACAGTTCAGATGAAGAACTCATTGATTTCAGTATTGTGTTCACACCTTAAAAGGTGTGAAAGGAGGGATTGTTAGAAATTAAAATCAATGTTTTATGGCATGATTTAGTCTAAAACATATCGTCAGTTTAAAAGCAGTCAGATGAAGAACTCATTACTTTTAGTATTGTGTTCACACCTTAAAAGGTGTGAAAGGAGGGATTGTTAGAAATTAAAATCAATGTTAAACAGCATAATTCAGTCTAAAATATATCGTCAGTTTAAAGCTGTTTTATTGTGGAAAAAACCCGGAAGTTCTCAGGAAATCAATGCCAAGCTTTTATTCTGAAAATCCTTTATCCAGTTTGCATGTGACTAAATGTTGCGTTTTCTGAATGTAAAGTGAAAGTGACTTGGAGTGTTATACACCAAAAACGAACGGACTTTAACACTACATCGATAGACGTTAAGATATTATTACTGCTGAATATTAAATGAAGGAACAGTTGATCATGGAGTGTTTACACATTACGGGAGTAGCTATGACGTCAGAGGGAACTACCGTAAACGAGAACGGTGTCGTAAAAGTGTTTCTAGGACTTCTAAACTAACGATTACAGCTGTTTATAAGGTATTAAATAGAAAGTCATGACAGAGATAAGGAGGAGAGAATGCTTAAGGAAATAGGCAGAGAATACCAATGTCGAAATCATCTGTGCTCTCGCGATATCGAACCCACAAGATGAGAAGGGCGGACCCGCTATCTTCACAGCGGGGGACGACGAGACATGGATAAAAACAGCGGACAGAGGACCGCTCGTCCCTTTTCTTCGCTGCAGCCTCCCTGGAGACATCACCGGCTTTGTCTCTCCATTCACCATGCTTGTTCTTTAACCACGTTACTTAATTAAACTACCCATTTGAACCTTTTCAGAGACTCCATTAGTCTCGTTATTTTAAGTTTCTTTCCTGGGAGCGAGAAGATCACAAATTATCAACAGTGATGTCACGGACACTACGTCCATTTATATATACAGTCTATGGTTGGGACGTGTCACGTGTGCCAGATGATGATAGGTTGGGACGTGTCACGTGTGCCGGAGACGATAGGTTGGGACGTGTCACGTGTGCCGGAGATGATAGGTTGGGACGTGTCACGCGTGCCGGAGATGATAGGTTGGGACGTGTCGTGTGTGCCGGATGTCGCCAATGACGTAAAAGGAGCCACAATTCTGGATCTGCTTGTTTTTTAGAGATGTGGGTACGGAGGAAAAGAGAGAGGGTTTTGTTTTCTGACACTTTGTGAGTTCCCTGACACACCGGGGACACATATTTATGTATAAAAGACATCAAAAAGTACATTTTGCATAATAGGTCCCCTTTAACTAAATGCGTCCTACATTACTGAAAACTGTTCTGTTGCTGAACTTGAAGTTGCATCAAAAACATCAAGAAGCAATACAAGCTCTATTCTGTTCATACACTTAACCCTTGTGTTGTGTTCGCAAGCTGATTACCGTTCATGGTGTTCGCGGGTCAATCATCCAATATTGTTTTAATTACATCATAACTCACTTATTATGCATTCATAACCATACAATCCTGTTGTATTTGTATTGTATGGCCCCAAAACACATTACTTACCCTAACACTAACTTGAAACGGGTCAAGGGAGACCCGAACACAACATAAGGGTTGAATAGCGCTCATCACTAAAAGCTAATAACTAAACTACTTTAAGATAATAACATATTGAAGATCGGTTCCTCTTCTCTTGGCTTACGCTCCTCTCCTCTTCTTCTTCTGGGCTCCTGTAAGTCATCAGTTCAAAAGAAATGTAATTATATTGTTAATGTGAGGTTCATGATGCAGCAAGAGCCATAAAAAATCACAACTAAATACACTCCAATGTCTAATATTTGTCACTGATGTTGATGAAACAAGAGACATCTTTACCCTGAGGTCTTCCTCCAGTCAAGGGTCTCACTGGATTCCTTTTTCACTGAGCCATCTGCTCCAGCTCCAGCTTCAGCTCCACAGGGTAGTGATCACTGACACTCTGAGTCTGGGACAGAAAATAACATTTAATAGTGTCAATAATTCACTTTATGCTTTGCCTGTTCTGGGGTGTTTCCACATTGCTTTATTTTGTTTGTTCTTCCGGTTAGAGCATGTGCGCTATTACTTGGAAAAGGGTTGCGAGCTTCATCAACATTTGTTTAACAAATAAACAGTATTTAAAGCTTTTGAATGGCTGTTATTAAGTTGTAACACTTTTTCGGGTAACAAACTAACCATTTAGATAACCGTTATGTGATTTATTTATCCAAAAAACGCATATTTGGGAATTTAAAATATGTTTCCAGCTGTGAGCAGCTGCTGGCTATTTGAAAGCGGTCGGTCATCTTAATAAAAGTCAACAGTGTTTTTAAAATGACTCTCACTGCCAGAACTGTAGACACAAGTTCGCACTGCAAGTCTAACTGAAGGATATTAAATAATAGTCCTAAGTTATGCGAGCCACCAATTTGTCAATAGTCAGCTAGATAGTTAACATTAGCTAGCTATCTTGTTAGATATATAGCTAACATAAACTAGCTAGCTAAGTGTGAGAGAGAGAGCAAATATTTCCTAATTTGTAAAGTAGATAGCTAACTTTCGCTAGCTAGCTAGCGAAATATATGTGTTTAAACCGGTAATGGGTTGGGCTGTGTCACTTCAGCAGGTTTCAGTGTTACAGTAGGGGAGAGTGGGGGGTAACATCTCATCGTACCAACGATACCCAACCCCTAAACATGAGTCTCACTTTTTCTTGTGTCAAGTTCAACTCTTCCTTGAAGTTGTAGGCTTTGGCTGAGTTGGGGACGATGGCCTCCAGCATCCTTTCTCCGTAAACCACGATCCTGTTGTTTGGAAATGCAGCACAATTCATTTTTCTTAACAAACACAAAATATGCTTGGATTAAACTGTAACAATGAATTGTGTATTACCTGTCGTAGGCGTTTTGTGTTTTGTTACTAGTCGTGGTGTCGACATCATCGCCTATCAGCCAATGATAAGGAGCCGAGGAGATGCGGAGCTTTTCCTTCTTCCTCTTGGAGAGAGAATCTCCATCGGCATTAAAGTCTCCCAAAATCATAATGTTCTGCAGAAGAAAGAACAACACAACCAAATTCAGAATGGAAAAACACATTATGTTCATTTGTTTTTACTTTATTCATACTGAAGGTATTCAAAGGTAATCTAAGCGTAAACAAGTTTTGCTTACATTTAATCTCTCAAAAACCCATCACTTAATATCATGATAAACAAAAAATGGTTAATGTTAAATGTAAAGATTTTACCAGATTGTTTTTCTCTCAAACCCATCAATAATATTTCAAACACTTACATCCTTCTTCCATTTTTCCCTCACAACCTCAACCACGTCATGAAGAGCGATCAGCTCCGCCTCTGCGTTACTTGGTTTGGTGTGGACCGGGATCAACACCAGCTTCTGTACAACTGGAGGCAAACACACACACACACACACACACACACACACACACACACACACACACACACACACACACGCGCCGTTATCGCAACCTAAGTTTAATTTAAAAAAAAGTATTTATGTTTAAACAGTCCATTTATGTCTTTCCTAAAGTTAGGACCTCACAATATAGAAAGGTCCTCACAACTTAGGTTGCCTTCACACCTAATAGTCCGCTTCTCAAAGTCAAAGTAAACTTTATTGTCAATCTTCCAGTTTGTGTGTACAGACAGAGAGATCAAAATACCGTTTATCAATACACAATCAATGACACATTTGTACATGTGCACACATTAAGACCTACATAAAAACACAACAATCAATATATACAAAATAAAAGTCACTTCAATATTTTGAGAATGTGCATTAGTGCAAGACTGGTGCTCACCAGACGACAGTTTGTTACATTATTTCTTTTTTCAGAAGGTTTGGTTTGCGTTCACACGGGCAAAACCCAAACAGACTATAAACTTTAAACACAAGTCATGTGCACGGAAATGCTGTTCAGCAATTGGTCAGACATTAAGGGGGTAAAAACGCAAACCCCGGCAATTTCTCCGCCATGGAGCATCGGCAGGTTATTTTCATGCTGCTGTTAATCTGGAGAGCTGAGAGCATATCAACAGACTCTAGTGGACAGCATATGATTATGTAATCAGATAACGTGCGATAAAAAACATAACACATATAATGAGAGACGTTCTGCAGTAAGGAGGACGTTTCACCGACGACAGGTGGCTCTGACTTTTATGTATAGTTGACGGAGCATTTTTACTTTACACGACACTGTTCAACACTTCATTCAGCTTCACTCTTTCGCTTAAGATTTTGAAGACATCCACGTTCCACACCAGAGATGAACCGCTCCAGAGTTCACTACCAAGCGGTCCGAGACCACCTCTTTTAGGTTGTTTAGTTCACATCACAGGTCTCAGACTGCGTTCACACCGACCCAAACAAACCACACCAGGCGGTGAAACGCACCAGGGTTCGACTAAATAAGGCTGGTGTGAATACGACCTAAAACTCCAAGTGGTCCTCACAATCATAGCCGTGCAAGACATATGCAAACACACATAAACACATCTGTGAGGACCTACATAAACAAAACATTTTTGCCTAATCTTTAACCCCTATGTTAACTAAAGAAGTGCTTTAACATTCAAACAGTCCATTGAAGGTCTGTACCAAATATAAAGAACAGGCCAGAATGTCCTCATAATCCATTAAGGCCCGCACAACACACAACACCCAAATTGATCCTCACAATGATAGTCTAAAAAAAACACACACACACACAAATACCTGTTTTTGGACAATTTAGAAGGAGAACGAAAGGCTTTCTGGTCAGCACATCATTTCCTCTGTACTGGTAGGAGTCTAATATCTGCACTTCTTTCTTTCTGAAACACAAAGCCACAAACATGTACTGTATTATAAAGCTTATAAGCACACATGTTATGTTTTGTTTGTTTATTGTATGTTTATGTATTTGTATTAGTTAGTGAGATAGCTCATAAACCACTTGAAGTTTTTCGGTAAAGCCTTGGGCCAACAGCACAATGTGATGATTTGTAAAGCCCATGATGTTCTGGGTCTTAGCTACCAAACCATAGACATAAAATAAATTATAGGACTACAACTATTTAAGTCAAGCGTCTCAAAGAAGAGTAATGTAATGTGTCACAGATTACTGGTTCAAAATATTGATAACTTTTTTTTGTCTTTGATATTCCACACAGTTTTTCAATCATAATTATCCAATTGAATGTGGCTGTTACCAATCAGTGGCGAGCCGTCAGGGCCCTCTAGGCCCTCTGTGAGGGCCTAAGATATTCCAAAAAATAATATTTAAAAACATTAAAAAAAAAAATATATTTTTTAAATATATATTTTTTTAATATTATTTTTGTTATATTTTTCATTAGTTTTACCGAAAAAAAACTTGATTTAATTGTATTTAAAATAACATTTCCAAAAAAATAAATCCTTCGAATCTGCCTGTTCAGTCTCTGTTTGAATGTGAAGGGTTACATGAAAGAAGCTCGTCTGGCCCTCTCTGCGATTCACAGAGGGTCGCTATAGTAACTGAACGAGAGAGTAATGTCAAATGACAGTACAATTGACCAATCATATCTTCCCTCTAAATGGGTGGGTTTTATTATCGCGGACTTTATGACAAGTTCCGCCCGCTGTGAAACTTTTCTTGTTTCCATAGCAACAACAACTTCCTGTCAACAGCGTGAACTCGCCTTCAAAATAAAAGCATGCCAAATTACACTTAAGACATACAACTGCAACGAAAGTAACAAACACAATGCAATATCATTTTCAATGTCAAAGAACACAAATTGGGTTCACAGGTGTTGTTTTGTGTGGTAGAGGGTCGCTGTCATTGATGCGTTTTGCACCCTGGGCCGTTGTTTTGATATTCCGCTGAAGTATACGCTGTGACGTAATAACCTTTTTTTTTTCTTTTTTTCGAGGGAAGGGGTGGGGGTCAGAGGGCCTAGGTATAAAGCTCACGGCTCGCCACTGTTACCAATTTAAGACATATTTTAATTCCTGTGAGACATAACGTATAGCTCAATTGGTAGATTGATGTGTACTGAGGTTTGGTCTGAATCCAGTTCAAAGACCATTTGCCGTGTGTCATCACTCCCTATTTCAAGCCTGTCTATGTTGCCCTAAAAGGTCTTTTAACCACATATAGGATTGTCCAGGATTGTCTGTTCTTGTGTTTCTGACCTGTAGAAGTAGACAAACTTCTCCTTGTAGCGATTTTGTCCCAGAGATGTACTGCACCGCATGCCGTACCGATTACTTCTGTTATCTCTGTCAGAAAGCAAAAACAACTGATTATCTCTCACAATCATCAATTTCTGTTTTTGATTCATTTTAGATGCCCCATAAGATTTAATACGTTTTTAACCACATAAATGAACTGTTATTGTCAGAGCAGACTGGGCTCTGGTTTCAGACAGAGGGTGAAAAGAGGTGCTGCAGCACAGGCAGTATGAGAAAAATAAAGAGCTTTTTGAACATTAAAGCATGGAGACATGTCACAGTGGAGGCACTAAATACAAATTTGAACCTGAAAATTAGCAGAATAGGGCCCCTTTAAATGAATGTGTGGAGAACTCACCCATAGTCATTAAGATGTGTGAGGAAAGTCTCCATGGCCACACCACTCACATCCATCACCTCCACCAGCACCACCACGCTGTACTGAGACACAATCTGCAAAACACAACCACAGAGAAAAGAAAGCATAGAACTAAAAGCACTTTTAACATGTTATAAATGTTTTCAATGCATAAAAAACTGCTCCTTTCCTTTAGTTTTTCTCACCATGTACAAAAACATTAACTGAAATATTACACTGAACAAACTTGTGTGGTTCAGCACGGTGAGTTACCTTAATGATAATTTCCCGTACGTCCTTTTTGTTGACTTTAGTCCTTCCCAGTCTCTTCACATTGAAGGCAGCGATCTTCATTTTTACTAAAAATCTAAATCAAATGAATTTCATAGATTTAAACCGATACACCCAACATATTATCAAGGCCAGTGGTGGACAGTAACTAAGAACATTTACTAAAGTGCTGTACTCAATTACAAGGTACTTAACGAGAGTATACTGTATGTCCAATTAAAGAAACTTTATTATTTTACTCTTCATCCAATACCTGCCACATTTCCTTACTTTTTCTCTATTGGGTTTCCATTTATGGGAGAAATAATCTCTGTTGTTAACAAATGTTTATGATACTTGCATGTTTGGTTCAGCATAATCTGCACATATTAACACCACTTTAAGATTTTTGAAGCGTAAATGCAATTGCCAGAAGTAAAAAGGATATCAAAGTCAACTGTATTGTCTATCTTTCAGTTTGTGTGTACACATGCTTTGAAGCACTACAGTATCCTGTTGAAGGAACTGTGATAATATTATACACAAGGGAAAACAAGGTGAATTTAACCATCCCAACGACAATGGCCAAGACACACATTGAGCCCAGAAAACAAATGTTATTAAGGGATGTAAATATGTGTGGCAGGTGTGGCAGCTATCAAAAAAGGCGTGTAAAAAGAGGCGGGAGCAGGGCCGGTTCTAGCCAATTTGATGCCCTCGCCGAGATTTTAGCTGCCAAAACTGTCAAACCTGTTTATCCCAATAATTATAAAGGAGTGCCTTGGCAATATTTGTTTACATAAATTGTGATCAAAATTGTGATCAAGTCCTTTACCTCACTGAGACTCTCAGCCTCCACCCTTGTTGTAGAAACAACTTATTCTTATTATCCGTTAGAGTACCTAGCACCAGATGCTAATAACAACAGCACCGGTACCGGTGCGCCCTCTCTCTCTCCCTCTCTCGCTCCCACGTCGCACTTTGGCTGTGAGCTGCAGGCGCCTGATAAGCCAACATCCCCCACTTTCATCACTTACAGTGCCCATCGTACAGGGCAAATGAAAAGTGTAAAAAATTAGGATAAGCACCAATGGTCAAAAATGTTTTTTACCCTCCCAGAGCTACCAGCGCAGCACCCTAGGCGACCGCCTATGTCGCCTATGCCAAAAAACCGGCCCTGGGCGGGAGTATACGATGAAGAGAAGTTAAATTAAAATGAACTTATTTTGAGATTTCACGATAATGATGGATTCACAATTCATAATTCATAATACAACACACAGACACACACACAGAGACACACACACAGAGACACACACACAGAGACACACACACACACACACACACACACACACACACACACACACACACACACACACACACACACACCTCTCTGGATGAAACAATGGAAGTGACCTTGTTCCCTTTTCTTTTTTCTGCTTGAGATTAATATACACAACTTGAATCTGAATCATTCTCTTTAGTAATATGTTATATGTTAGAAAGGTAAAATAATTCAAACTGAATTGATCCCATGAGAATCATTTAGATTAAAAGCAGCACAGAAAGTAAAGTAATAATGATAATGTGGAGCTATAGTATTCATTAAGGGTACAATCAGTGCTGGCTTCAATATATCTATAACTATTAAAAGTTACACCTTTCTATAATGCAGAAACACAAGGCATTTAATGTGTATTATTATACATATTATATAGTTGATTTATTATTTTCTGAATGTGAAAGCAGCATTTTACTGTAGATGTTTGATGTAGTGTTATCTTTTATACTGTTGGATGATTTAATATATAAGAAATCCTCATGTTTTGTTATATAAAAATGCATATAAACATTCTTTACTGGAAATCAGTTCATAGATACCAAATACCTTGTCTCTCAATTATATCAACAGTAAAAGCTGGACTGTGGGGTAGTGGTTGTGCAATGTTGCATCATGGGAGATGTAGTCTTCTCCAGGATTCCATCAGTGTTCCTGGTTCAGGAGATTTTAGCATCTCCTCTGATATAAAGTGTTAGATCAGCATGTTTTTAACTGTATTATCCCCGACAGGGGCGGTTCAACGGGGGGGTTTGCGATTCAGATGAGGCCCCCTCCGCGAGGTGAGGCCCCCCTCCGCGAGGTGACCAGTCTAGGGAGGGGCGGCCTACCTACACCCACACATGCAAATAAACCAGTTCAACAAGTCACACAATGCTGTCTGGCGAAAACAAATAGGCTAATTATCATACTAAAAGGGATTCATCCAAGTGTCCCAACACATTTCAGAAAGAACTGTTTCTGTCAGAACCAGAGAAGAGTTAAATGTATTTTTTTAACTAATTAACTGATAAGATACAAGTAGAGTTTAAAATATTGCTACAGATATAATTTCACATACTTTTATCAGAAATAATGTATTCATTTATTCAATTCTGGTCTTATTTCAAAATCTTACACATTTGGAACTTAGTTATAGTGAATTATCAAAGACATTATATTTCTATTAGTGTTTTATTTCCACAAGCGAACATATAAGAAGGGCGGGGTCCATGACAGGTGCTCATGCTATTTTGACTACCACACTGACCCAGTGTTGTAATATTGCAACAAAATCAAATTTGATGAATGTATTCCACAATAACTAAATATGTACATGTTCTAAACATTGTAATAATCACAAAAAAAAACATTTGAGGCATTTTACTTACTTGAATCTGACAAATCCAGTCCAATAAAACAAAGAGATATCGCTCGATTGAAGATGCGGAAGTTGTGTGAGTGTATGGCCAGAGGGCAGGACCTATACACACCTTTAATATCCAATAGCATTGTGAGGCTGAACAAAAGCGGTTCCCAACCTTATTTTGTACAGGCTAAAGACACAAACATGGACATGACAATAACACATAGGAGATGACATTCCAATCTCAGACACAAACAAAACAAAAACAGAAGAAATAAAGATACAGTCAGTAGGATCACTTCAACATTTCACAAACAAAAATAGGTCGACAACCAAAAACCACCAAAAACACAACATGGCAGCATATTTATTGTTCCTTTGATCCCACTCTTCATTAGAGCTAATTATTTCCCCTTTCTTGGCGTGTTGAGCCACCACTAATCTACTCTTCAAACACCTTAAATTAAGATTACTCCTTGATTGACTTTTAATAATATGTATTTTAGCCAGAAGAATAGTTGTATTTATTAGTGTCTGTTCCTCTCTCTGGACTGTATGCTGCTGACAGTTTGCTGAACGTTAAGTTAGCGGTGGCAGAGAGTTCCTCATCATTACATTACATTGCATTTAGCTGACGCTTTTATCCACAGCGACTTACAATAAGTGCATTCGACCAAGAAGGTACAAACTTGAAGAAAACAGAATCATATAAGTACATCAGGTTTCATAGAGCCAAAACATTTCAAGTGCTACTCACATGGCTTTAGATAAGCCAGTCCTTTATTAGTATATAAGTGCTTTGTTAGTCATTCTATCGCTCGAAGTGGAGTCGAAAGAGATGAGTTTTCAGTCTGCGCCGGAAGATGTGTAAGCTTTCTGCTGTCCTGATTTCAATGGGGAGCTCATTCCACCATTTTGGAGCCAGGATAGCAAACCCACGTGTTTTTGCTGATGGGAACTTGGGTCCCCCTCGCAGTGCGGGTGCAGCGAGCCGTTTGGCTGATGCAGAGCGGAGTGCACGTGCTGGGGTGTACAGTGTAACCATGTCCTGGATGTAGGAAGGGCCAGATCCATTCGCAGCATGCTACGCAAGTACCATTGTCTTGAAGTGGATTCTAGCAGTTACTGGAAGCCAGTGAAGTGATCACATGACAGAGAGTTCCTCATCACATGACAGAGAGTTCCTCATCACATGACAGAGAGTTCCTCATCACATGACGTCAACACAGGACAGGTATTGTTCGCATGTAAATAAGCTTGTATTCAACACGTTACTTTACATATATTTGTTAAGCCAGCATTGTTTGCTGTGAAAGCAGATAACTCTCTCCACGCATAATTAAACCCTCTGTGTTCCTCCAATACTTTTATTTTCTTTGATTTATCCATAGTTCCATAGTTCCCTCATCGAGCCGGGGGTCAGGTCACCTGCAAGAAAAGGCGCTGGTGCGGGACCGTAGCAGGATGCAATGCATATTTGAGTTGACCTAATTAAAACGTTGTTTTTATTTATTTATGTGTTACAGTATCACCTCAAAATACAAGATACGAAACATTTTCAAACGTGCAACAAAATATAAATAGTCCTACAAATGTCTTTATTTTATTTCCTTCTTATTTTGATCTAAGCTCAAGGGACTGATTTGAGAGGTTGTAATAACCAAGTTGCAGTTGTAATGGAAAATATATTTTAAAAATATATATTTTTCTGCAAGTGAACATTTCTTCACTAAGTTCATTTTTTTTCTACAAGCCACAAAACTTTTTTGTTCTGTTACTTCAAATGTGGTTCACAGATACGTGGATATTTTTATACAAGTGTAAATGTATGCACACAAGCTCAGATTTGTTTTCTGCAAGTGCTCACATCAGGTTTTACACGCTCTCGCATTTTGCACGATATCTACCTTCATAATTAATTATAGTCATTACTTCATCTATTAAAACCAAACGTTTCTTGATTCTTTGTACAGTATGAAAAAAGGGTCTTCGTACCTCGGATTCCGTGTTGAAGTTCACTGCACTGCTGTTACTTTACATAAACAAATATATATGTAAAGTAACGTGTTGAATACAAGCTTATTTACATGCGAACAATACCTGTCCTGTGTTGACGTCATGTGATGAGGAACTCTCTGTCATGTAATCACTTCACTGGCTTCCAGTAACTGCTGGAATCCACTTCAAGACAATGGCCAATCTGGCCCTTCCTACATCCAGGACATGGTTACACTGTACACCCCAGCACGTGCACTCCACTCTGCATCGGCGAAACAGCTCGCTGCACCCGCACTGCGAGGGGGACTCAAGTTCCCATCAGCAAAAACACGTCGGTTTGCTATCCTGGCTCCAAAATGGTGGAATGAGCTCCCCATTGAAATCAGGACAGCAGAAAGCTTACACATCTTCCGGCGCAGACTGAAAACTCATCTCTTTCGACTCCACTTCGAGCGATAGAATGACTAACAAAGCACTTATATACTAATAAAGAACTGGCTTATCTAAAGCCATGTGAGTAGCACTTGAAATGTTTTGGCTCTATGAAACCTGATGTTCTTATATGATTCAGTTTTCTTCAAGTTTGTACCTTCTTGGTCGAATGCACTTATTGTAAGTCGCTGTGGATAAAAGCGTCAGCTAAATGCAATGTAATGTAATGTAATGTAATGATGAGGAACTCTCTGCCGCCGCTAACTTAACGTTCAGCAAACTGTCAGCAGCATACAGTCCAGAGAGAGGAACAGACACTAATAAATACAACTATTCTTCTGGCTAAAATACATATTATTAAAAGTCAATCAAGGAGTAATCTTAATTTAAAGTGTTTGAAGAGTAGATTAGTGGTGGCTCAACACGCCAAGAAAGGGGAAATAATTAGCTCTAACGAAGAGTGGGATCAAAGGAACAATAAATATGCTGCCATGTTGTCCAGGACATGGTTAAACTGTACACCCCAGCACGTGCACTCCGCTCTGCATCAGCCAAACGGCTCACATCAGGTTTTACAAGCTCTCGCATTTTGCACCATATCTACCTTCATAATAATACACTTATATACATGCCATTAAACATTACCTCATGCTAGTTCACCTACAAATGCGTGAATTTGAGTGTTCTTTCCATGTAAAAAGTTTACATTTAGATGTTAACAAGCAACAAGCAACATTACTTTTTTGTCAGCTTTCTTATTTCGATGTGTTGAAGGTAAAGATTATTTAACACATGGTGAGAATTGCTACTATTCATCTCTTTATATTGTCTGGTAAAAGTGATTATTGCACTGAGACAACCGAACAGAGCAAGCTTCTATAGTTGCACTAAGTTTTGATAACAGTTAAATATTATTTTGATAATAAAATACATTTTAATGTTGATGAACTTCAGACTATTCATTCATAATCTGATTATTTTTGTAGTTTACTGTTGAAGTTTAAAAAAAACATTACAATAAAAGAATGATTATATCTATAGCCCCTAAAAACACACACACACCTCTTTAATAAACAACACACCTGCTCTATACGATAATGTAATGTTTGATGTTTCCTGTCATTTCTGTGAGGTAAGGACATGCCTGAAAGACACCGCTGCGTCACCATTTTCTCTTTCTTCGAGGGTCAAGAAGAACATCCAAGAGGAAAATGAGCACCTGATATTATGAGATTCAAGACCAATATTCACTCAGAAACTACACTTTTATTGTGAACACAAAGATCTCACAGTTTTGTAGTCTAACAGGAGTTTCATTAGTTTGTGACGCTGCACCTCAGAGAAGGTGTGGTTATAGGGTTATAAAGTGTGGCAAAAACTGGTTTCTGTCAAGTTGGTGTTTATGACATGCTGAGTGATTTCTGACTCACCATAAAATGTTATGACCCGCCCCTAAATCCTTTTGATGTGACAGGCGTCTGTGCACCTCTTTGTAGTCATTATTTTGTATGACTCGTTTGCTCAGCTGTTGTTGTTGTTGTATTGCACCCTATAACTTATTGTTCCTTACATAGTGGGTTAATAATACTTTATTGACCCCTTGTCTCTGCACCTGTTGTAGTGTCCCCCTAATAAACCATTACAGTCAATATTGTTTTATGACTTGTTTGCTCATCTATTGTTTTTGTATGTCCTATATCAGAACACCACCACCATCCCTACCCCCCTTCTTTTCCCTCCCCCCTGCTGATCCTATGAGCGAATAGGGCGTGGAGTTTTACCTGTGACTCTGTCTCTGCCAGGTGTGACAACTGTTGGTTTAAAAAAAAAGAAGTAATCTTTCATATAATCTAGTTCCTTTCTAACACTATGGAGAAAAAATAATAGACATCTCTGAGGGTTGTAACATCAGTGTTAGTGAAAACCATTTCCTTACATTTAACAACTGACCCCTATTCTCTTATCAAGGTTTTTAAGATAACAGTGTCTCCCATTGTCTCCACTATTATGACCTCTAGGGCAGCGGTTCCCAACCTGTGGGCCGCGGCCCCCTAGTGGTCCGCTAAGGCATTGCAAGTGGGCTGCCAAATATTTGTTATGTTTTATTTTGTACAGGCTAGAGACACAATCATGGACATGACAATAACATATAGGAGATGACATTCCAATCTCAGACACAAACAAAAACAGAAGAAATAAAGATACAGTCAGTAGGATCACTTCAACATTTCACAAACAAAAATAAGTTGACAATCAAAAACCACCAAAAACACAACAAGGCAAACATATTTATTGTTCCTTCAATCCCACTCTTCGTTAGAGCTCATTATTTCCCATTTCATGGCGTCAAAGCCACCCTTTGATTTTTTGTGGCAATTATTTTTTCCAAAAGAAATTGTGTTTTTAATCTACTCTTAAAACACCTTAAATTAAAATTACTCCTTGATTGACTTTTAAAAACATGTATTTTAGCCGGAAGAATAGTTGTATTTATTAACTGTGTGTGTTCTTCAATCAGAACTTTATTTAGCCTCCGTATTGTTTATGGTTGAATGTGGGCCGCAAAAACATTTTTGATTCTTAAGTGGGCCCTGAGTTGAAAAAGGTTGGGAACCGCTGATCTAACGGGATCCTCATAAAATCCAAAATCCTACATGT